AACGGTGACAACAGTGACTACGCTAACAACCGTGACAACAGTGACAACTGTGACAGCAGTGAAAACAATGACAACAGTGAGAATGGTGACAACAGCGGCAACAGAGATGATAGTGACAAGTGACAACAGTGACAATGGTGACCACAGTGACAACAGCGACAACAGCGACAATAGTGACAACACTGACAACAGCGACAACAGTGAGAACAGTGACGACAGTGACCACAGTGACAACGGTGACAACAGCGACAATGGTGACATCACTGACAACAGCGACAACGGTGACAACAGAGACGACGGTGACAACCGTGACAACGGTGACAACAGTGACAAAAGCGACAAGCGTGACAGCACTGACAACGGTGACAACGCTGGCAATGGTGACAACAGAAACAACAGTGACAACGGTGACAACAGTGACAACAGCGACAATGGTGACAACGGTACAACACTGAAAACGGTGACAACGGTGACAACAAGGAGGACGGTGTGACAATACTGACAACAGTGACAACAGCGACAATGGTAACAACACTGACAACGGTGACAACAGCGACAACAGGGAGAACGGTGACAACAGTCACAACAGCGACCATGGTGACACGGTAACAACAGTGAAAACAATGACAACATTGACAACACTGACAAGGGTGACAATTGTGACAACGGTGACAACAGTGACAACGGTGCAAACAGTGACAATGGTGACAACAGCGACAATGGTAACAACACTGACAACAGCGACAACCGTGTCAACAGTGACGACGGTGACAACAGTGACAACAGTGACAACGGTGAGAACAGGGACAACAGCCACAATGGTAGCAGTAAAAACAATGACAACAGTGAGAATGGTGACAACAGCGGCAACAGCGACGACAGTGACAAGTGACAACAGTGACAATGGTGACCACAGTGACGACGGTGACAACAGTGACAAGGGTGACAACGGTGACAACATTGAAAACGGTGAAAACAGTGACGACGGTAACAACGGTGACAACAGTGACTACAGTAACAGCTCTGACAACGGTGACAATGGTGACAACGGTGACAGCAGTAAGAAGAGGGTCAACGGTGACAATAGCGACAAGGGTGAAAACAGTGACAACAGCGAAAATGGTGACAAGAGGGACGAAGGTGACAACCGTGACAACAGTAACAACAGTGACAACTGTCACAACAGTGAAAACAGTGACAACAGCGACAACAGCGACAACAGCGACAAGGGTGACAACACCGACAACGGTGACAATTGTGACAACAGAAACAACAGTGACAACGGTGACAACAGTGACAACAGCGACAATGGTGACAACGGTACAACACTGAAAACGGTGACAACAAGGACGACGGTGTCAGCTGTGACAATAGTGACAACAGTGACAACAGTGACAACAGCGACAATGGTGACAACACTGACAACGGTGACAACAGCGACAACAGGGAGAACGGTGACAACAGTGACAACAGCGACCATGGTGATACGGTAACAACAGTGAAAACAGTGACAACATTGACAACACTGACAAGGGTGACAACTTTGACAACAGTGACAACGGTGCAAACAGTGACAATGGTGACAACAGCGACAATGGTGACAACAGCGACAACGGTGACAATGGTGACAACAGGAACAACGGTGACAAAAGTGACAACAGCAACACTGGTGACAACAGTGACAACGGTGACAACATTGACAACACTGACAACGGTGAGAACCATGACAACAGTGACAACGGTGACAACCGTGACAATAGTGACAACGGTGACAACAGGGACGACGGTGACAACAGGGAGACGGTGACAAACGTGACAACAGTGACGACATTGACAACGGTGACAACAGCGACTATGGTGACAACACTGACAACAGCGATAACGGTGTCAACAGTGACAACGGTGACAACAGTGACAACAGCCACAATGGTGACAACAGTACCAACGGTGACAACATTTAAAATGGTGACAGCAGTGACGACGGTAACAATGGTGACAACAGTGACTACAGTAACAGCTGTGACAACGGTAACAATGGTGACAACGGTGACAGCAATAAGAAGAGGGTCAATGGTGACAATAGTGACAATGGTGACAACCGTGACAACGGTGACACCACTGTCAACAGCGACAACGGTTAAAACAGTGACGACGCTGACAACTGTGACAACAGTCACAACGGTGACAACCGTGATAACGGTGACAACCGTAACAACAACGACAACGGTAACCACAGCAGCAATAATGACAACAGCGACAACAGTGACAACAGCGACAACGGTGACAATAGCAACAACAGTGACAACAAAAACAATGGTGATAACACCAACAACAGTGACAACCATGACAACAGCGACTACAGTGACAACGGTGACAAACGCAACAACAGCGACAATGGTGACAACAGAGACAACAGTGATAACGGTGACAACAGCGACAACGGTGACAACAGTGACAACGGTGGCAACAGTGACAACGGTGACAAAAGTGACAAGGAATAAAACAGTGACAATGATGACAAAAGCGACAACGGTGACAACACTGACAACAGCAGAAACAATGGTGACAACAGTGACGACTGTGACAACAGTGACAACAGCGACAACAGTGAGAAAAGTAACATCGGAAACAACAGTGAAAACAGGGACAACATTGAAAACACTGAAAACAGCGAACACAGTGACAACAGCAACAACTTTGACAACAACGACAACAGTGACAACACTGGCAACGGTGAAAACGGTGACAACTGTGACAACAGTGAAGATGGTCACAACAGAGACAACGGTGACAACTGTGACAGCTAGCGACAATAATGGCAACACTGACAATAGCAACAACGGTGACAATGGGGAAAACAGGGAGAATGGTGACAACAGTGAGAACAGTGACAATGTTGACAACAGTGACAACGGTGACAACTGTGACAAAAGTGACAACGGTGACAATGGTGACAACAGCCACAATGGTGACAACACTGACAACAGGGACAACAATGACAACAGTGACGACGGTGACAACCGTGACAACAGTGACAATGGTGACAACAGGGACGACGGTGACAAACGTGACATCGGTGACGACATTCACAACGGTGACAACACTGACAACAGCGACAACGGTGTCAACAGTGAAAACGGTGACAACAGTGACAACTGTGACAACGGTGACAACAGTGACAACAGCCACAATGGTGACAACAGTAACAACGGTGACAACGGTGACAACATTTAAAACGGTGAGAGCAGTGACGACGGTAACAACGGTGACAACAGTGACTATAGTAACAGCCGTAACAATGGTGACGATGGTGACAACGGTGACAGCAATAAGAAGAGAGTCAACGGTGACAATAGTGACAATGATGACAACCGTGACAACGGTGACAACCGTAACAACGGTGACAACACTGACAACAGCGACAACGGTTACAACAGTGACGACGGTGACAACTGTGACAACCGTAACAACAACAACAACGGTAGCCACAGCAGCAATAATGACAACAGCGACAACAGTGACAACAGTGACAACGAGCGACAATAATGGCAACACTGAAAACAGCAACAATGGTGACAATGGGGAAAACAGGGACAACGGTGACAACAGCGACAATGGTGACAAGAGTGACAATGTTGACAACAGTGACGACGGTGACAACTGTGACAAAAGTGACAACGGTGACAATGGTGACAACAGCGACAACAATGACAACAGTGACGATGGTGACAACCGTGACAACAGTGACAACGGTGACAACAGGGACGACGGTGACAAACGTGCCAACGGTGACGACATTGACAACAGTGACAACAGCGACTATGGTGACAACACTGACAACAGCGACAACGGTGTCAACAGTGACGACGGTGACAACAGTGACAACTGTGACAACGGTGACAACAGTGACAACAGCCACAATGGTGACAACAGTAACAACGGTGACAACGGTGACAACATTTAAAACGGTGAGAGCAGTGACGACGGTAACAACGGTGACAACAGTGACTATAGTAACAGCCGTAACAATGGTGACAATGGTGACAACGGTGACAGCAATAAGAAGAGAGTCAACGGTGACAATAGTGACAATGATGACAACCGTGACAACGGTGACAACTGTAACAACGGTGACAACACTGACAACAGCGACAACGGTTAAAACAGTGACGACGGTGACAACTGTGACAACCGTAACAACAACAACAACGGTAACCACAGCAGCAATAATGACAACAGCGACAACAGTGACAACAGCGACAACAGTGACAACAAAAACAATGGTGATAACACCAACAACAGTGACAACCATGACATCAGCGACTACAGTGACAACGGTGACAAACGCAACAACAGCGACAATGGTGACAACACAGACAACAGTGATAACGGTGACAACAGCGACAACGGTGACAACAGTGACAACAGTGACAACGGTGCAACAGTCACGACGGTGACAAAAGTGACAAGGGTTAAAACAGTGACAACGATGACAAAAGCGACAACGGTGACAACACTGACAACAGCAGAAACAACGGAGACAATGGTGGCAAGAGTGACGACTGTGACAACAGTGACAACAGAGACAACAGTGAGAAAAGTAACATCGGAAACAACAGTGACAACATTGACAACACTGAAAACAGCGACAACAGTGGCAACAGCAACAACTTTGACAACAACCAGAACAGTGACAACGGTGAAAACGGTGACAACTGTGACAACAGTGAAGATGGTGACGACAGTGACAACTGTGACAACGGTGACAACAGTGACAACGGTGACAATAGTGACAACGGTGACAACAGTGACAACTAGCGACAACAATGGCAACACTGACAACAGCAACAACGGTGACAATGGGGAAAACAGGGACAACGGTGACAACAGCGACAATGGTGACAACAGTGACAATGTTGACAACAGTGACAACAGGGACGACGGTGACAACAGTGACAACTGTGACAACAGTGACAACAGTGACAACGGTGACAACAGCG